TGCGTGGGAAGACTGGACCTGGGACTCAACGTGGAAACAGTGGTACCTGGACGTCTCCGAAAACGATACTGAGGAGAAGAGTCAGATTTTCGCAAGCCCATGGCGTGTACAAGGAGATGGTGAATGGGTCTATGTTGGCAGGATAGGCGGCGTAAACTAAGAAGTGTCGACGATCCGGTATCAACGCGACACCCTGAGCAATACCGAAGTATCCTCAACGATAAATAGGATGTCAAACACCCAGCAGCCACTTCGGCAGTGTGCGTGAAAGGCGCATGTGAGACCTCAGAATCAGACATCATGTGCCAGACAAAGCGCGCATGTTCTACCCGCACAATGTGGTATCAGTACTATATCCTAGCGTTCACCCGCCTATTCACCATTCACGAACGGCGTGAATAATCGTTCCAAGAACAGGTACAAAGGACGATGAACGGTCGAACAAACACACGCGTGGTTACACGGACCGAAACATACCCGACACTCCAACCAACAGCGCAAGAGGACTACTTCTCCTATTATCCAAAGACCAATCCTCGTGGTAAACCGGTCCTTCAGCGTCCGCATATTCCGGCTCCACTGCATGTAAGCTATACAAATTGTTCGCCGCTCGCTGCGGGCCCGGCAGGATGGAAGTACACACCACTATCTGCGCGCACTCCTGGACTTGAGTCGTTTCGTCACGATCACGGGGTAAAATTCAAGTCGCGTCTTTCATTTCGAGCTGTTCTGCTGAATTGCCGTTGGGATTTGTTGTGGGACGAGGATGAGCTGCCTGCGAGGGTGATCGGTCGCTGTCAAATGTACATCGACGAAAAGTACGAGTCTGTTAAATGGAGACTGGCGAAATGCGGACGTGTTCTGTGTGGGTTCCTAGGTTGGCCTTGGCGGAAGCTATTCTCTCGGCGGTTGGCATTGGAGGAGGTAGATGAGCTTCTTCCAAGTTTCTATCGCGATGATTTTGAGCCTGGGCCTTCGCATGATACAGAAGATGTTCAGGCTTTCCTTGACCATGCAGTTTAACATACACTGCAGGTGTACATGCAAATGGACGTGCGCGCTGTATTGTCCCTTTACCATTAGCAGGTGAATGCAAGGTACATTTTACACGATTGCTCAATCAAATAATAAAGAACGCTGTCAATCCTCAAAATGGTGTTTCATCCTCAATGCCACCTCATACGATGAAAAAAAACACCCTAGAGCCTACGTTTACGTAGGGCCACCTACTTTGCATATTTTTATCTTGATGTAGGCTCTACGGTGTTCAATTTTTCCTTTTTATGGATTGACGCGTAGTGGCTGGTTCTAACTTCGAAAGCTTGTCGCGAGAGGGACGGAAAGGGGATGGTGCTCTTCGCGGTTATGACGTAAGCGCCACTAGCGCCTAACAGTACAGCCTCGGCGCACGCCCGGGCGCGTCCCAGCCTCCTTCCACAACCCTCATTTCAGCAGCAAGATGCCATCCTTTTGACCACGTATGTTATCGCCGTCGCGCGCGAATCCTCTGCGATCTGGATGCAATAACGGTGGTGACGATTTCCGACTTACCAGACAGTTGCTCTTTCTCAATGACCATCCCCACTTCCGGGCGTCCGCGAGATACGTATGTTTGACACGCGCAATTCGCAGAGATTTAGTCATGTCACCATACCCATAATCATGCGTCAAGCATCGATACCTATCAAGTGGCAGCGCGCGTGATCAGCAGGCGCCACTGATTTCGGGCAATATTAGATCGAGGCAACTACCGGCATGGTTAATCACCAGAGATTCGCCCTCGATATTGGAAGCCCTCTCACCAGCTGCACCCCACAATGTGCTTTTACGGAAATGTGTCATGCAGGGGCAGGCTCACATGCTGATAAACCGCGACACGATAGAACCATATCCTTACACTCATATTGGTCTGGTTCTCAATTCATCATACGGCGCCATGTTCACTCTCCTTGCAATTGTACTGTTTGTACCATCCATGCACGCGCTACTACACCATCTCGCAGTCGGCACTACGAATGGGCAGGCCTTGTACTCGCTGGAGACGGACGATGACTCCAGAAGAGTGTATACGATTCAGGCAAGAGATGCAGGTGGAGCATCGCCGTCTTTGGCACTCGACGTGCGTGAATTAATCATCGGTAAGGATTATCTCCGTTGACCTATTCGGTAGCGCTCGAAGCAACACCTCTTCAGCAGTCGTCCGCAGGATGGAACCCTGACCCGCCACTCGATTGCGCCGACATACGAACTCATCAGCGAAGGCACCATGGATATACCCTCATCATGTTGGTTCTCATCATGACATCCCGATGAATCCTTCTGACCAATCCAGGCAACACTACGAACTTTTTGTCCCTAAAGCTAGGATCTTCTGTCCAAAACACGGCTATATGGGGCACTGCGAGCACCGGAACTTGCAGTATCGTCTTTGGAGTGTCGCCAGACGGATATGATACTATAAACTCCCAAGAGATCGCCGGCGACGTTCACTCTATTGCATGGGCTCCCAATGGGCGTAATTTGCACGCACTGGACTCGCACTCTTCCGGAAATCTTTTGACGTCAATCACAAACTTCCGCATGTCCGAAGACCCGGATTTGCAGGACGTGGTGGGTATTGATATCCTCGGTAATGTCACAAGCGCTTCACAAATCATCGCCCATCCCAGCGAAACCTTAATGTACATCGTCACCAAGGACTCAAACGAGCTGGTTGTCGTGTCTTTGGCCGGTGACAGTCTCGTGAGCAATTCTACTCCGGTCCTGCGTTATGAACTGCTTCCTACTTCCTTGGATGCGACACAGTTTCACTCGTCATCTTTGGCTATTTCTGCGTCTCGAAACACGTTGTGGGCACTTTCGCAGTCTTCGCGTCAAGCAGTCATTACGGCCTTTACCCTCAATGTCACAACCGGCGAGGTGGTAGATGTCGCTGCCCGAGCGAGCTGGCAGGGAACTGGCGAAGGCCAGCTCACGGCAGCGCCCTTTGATGGTGGCGATGTAGTCGCTATCGCAAACTCTCCGACGGGATACATCACTATACTCGGTCTCGACCAATCCACATTGCCAAGCGCCCGCACAGCCGAGGATTCTGGCCTTCACGACTATTTGTATGCCATGCAAGTTGATGAGGGGAGACTAAAAGACATACAAATGGCTGTACCCAGGGTCAAAAGTTATGGCCGGGTTTTGGTTGACGATTTTGTCAACTTAGGCGACTCTATGTGGATCGATTGAAATTATCCACGTTCCTGCGCTTGGTCCAAGCAATGTCTTGTTCTCAAACAATGAGTCTTGATAGACCCGTCTCGACAAAGCCACAAAGCCACTATCGGCCATCAGTTTTACACTCGCATCCTTTGTTCGTTACTCGAATTACATCGAGCCCTTCTGAAGTAGTGGTGCGATGCGATTCCTCAAACTGAACGAATATTACACATCTATACAACCTGTATTCAAGCACTTGAACACTATCTTATATGCCGTATGTCCACATAATGGCGTCATAACATCACTAATGCTGGCAGTCCTAAGCGCCGCCGCGAAGCCGAGACTGCGGCTACTCGCCGAGTACGTGCCAGAAGAGCAGCGGCTGCCGCAGCAGCCACCGTAGTGAACGCCACCAATCTGCTTCTCAGATTTCCGGGAGGTTAGTAAGACGTCTTCTACAACGCGCACGGGTGCTAACATCATGAAGAGATTAGGAACAGGATCTATCAGGCTCTCTTCGATCAATTTGTAGTGACTCATCGACCATATATGATCACGCGTAGGGGAGTAGATCCACATGGTCCTCCAACTGCTCAAATACGTAATAGCCCATATCCTCTGGTTATGAGCGCGCCGAACGGCTTCAATGTCATTCCGTGGGCAGACACTGATCCGTTGCGACGTGTCAACGCAGCCACTCAAGCTGCGATACATGATGGATACTGTGCCATGAAGACAGACTTACTGGCTGTTGGGCAAATATCACGTCAGTTCATGCATGGTAAGTCTGGTGTTCGTTAATGTATATGGATATACACTGACTTGTTATCGCGTTATTCACAGAGTACCGATCCTTTCAGCGCGCTCGCCTGCAGCCTTTTGTGGCTCTTGATGAGTTCTGGAACTTTGTAAGAATATTCTACCCAAGCGACGATCCAGCAATTGCCGCGGACTATCAGGGTCCACGCATTACGCTTGCTTTACCACGCCATTCACACCAGATGTATGACATAATGCCAGTCTTGCGATTCTTCCACCGCGCACCGTCCCTACAATGCAATGTTTGGGGTGCTTACAAGGAAGACGGGGACTGGTATAAGGTTCTTGCGCAACCTCTGCGCCAGTATATCTTTGCGCCGCCGGAAGGTGCCCTTACTATTTCGAAGTTCATGTTTCGTCCGTACGGGAGGCGAAGAGTTTATGAGGGGAATCTTGACAACTACCATGATCTATGGTATAGCGCAGCTTTCAGAGTGGTCTTCGCTCCTGTGTCAAGACGTGACTGGATGGACGGAAAGTCGATAAGCTTCCCCGCCCAGCCGCAACGAGCTGTCACGCGGATGAACAAAGAAAGAGCAAGAAGGCAAGATGTTCTACGGTTCCTCAAGGCCGCTGGCTTGAACAATGAAGAAATCATGGCAAGATGGGAAATGCGATTCACTGTACTGGAATAGCCCATGCGCATATTCACTCATACCATAGCCACTTCGATATGAGCGCGGATTATCCTGATTCATTGCCAGGAGATCAAACAATGAATGGTATGCAGCTATGGGCATGATAGTCTTCATCTAAGCAGTTATTTCACTATATGTATACTCAAACACGAGCCATTGCCGCCCGATATGAAGTACTTGCATTCATTGGAGCTACCTGGGTCCCATTTAAGCGGCCCTATTCCTCGACTCTCAGATCCATCTGACTGTCGCACACCGAACGTTGATACAATACCCGCAATACTCAACTCATCCATCGCGCTTAGAGGAACTCGAACTCGAAAAAAGTCCGCTATGGTGTAAGTAAACGAGCGCCTCAGTGTATCGAACCAACGACTAACAGCATTAACAGCAAACGCAAGCGCTCCATTGGGCCCGCTGATTCCTATATCAAGCGATCCCGCCGTGCCGCGAAAGCAAAGAGGTCTGCCACACCGACCGCGCTGGGGCAGCCAAATGCGGGCAGTATCGCCGAAGCAGCCAAGAGCAATGAGAGCAACAGGTTGTTGTCTCTTCCAGCTGGTAGGTCATAAGATTCAAGCCCATTGTAACATACGAATCTAATGAGCCTGTAGAAATACGGAACACAATCTACGAAATTGCCACTGGGGATTTGCAGACAGAGTACGAAACTTATAAGTGCAGCGAGATCGCGCCGCTTTTGGAACAGCATACACAAGACACAGATCGGATGGCTCGCCTCAATCTTTACCCACCCCTTCAAAATGAAGCCGAATACGCACACTTTCGATGCTTAAAGAGAGACTGGCTTGCACTGGGCCAAACATGCCGCCGACTGCACGGGGAGTTCCGCTCGCTGCAAAATAGTCTCACTCATGTTTACATTTCCGTACGATTTCTCAAAGGGTACCTTGAAACTTTCCATCCCGTCCCCGACAAGACGATCTCCAACCCAAGGATCCCCACCCGGCCCGTTAGTCATCCTGCGAAGATTACGGTATTCTTCAACAAGTTTGACAAGAAGGAACAGCGTCCCTTCGATGTTCTTCCCCTTATGCGGCTGATGAAGGCCTCTCCATCGCTTGGGTGCGACGTCTGGACACTTAATCCCTCCCCTCAACCTCACGGTGTCGAAGATCGAGACATCCACGATGCATTGTTTGCGACTCAAAACTCGCTTTGGGCGCATCCTGATCCGAAATTCCTCCCAAGTCTCAACCGCATATCCTTCACTCCTCAAGGTATACTGAGCATTAGTGTTCAAGACGAAGTTCTCAAAGACTGGATGAAGACCAGCAAGATGAGGCAATGGACTGGTGCTGACTGGAAACGTAAGCGTGGCAAGGGGATAGACAAGGGCGGTACGTGGGTGAAAGACAGGCAAGAGCACACGCGGAAGTACCTGGAAGCATCTGGAATGAATGTCGAGCTGTTGAAGGGTTGGAAAGTGACCGTGGGTGAAGGGGCAGGCTAGACGTGTGTTGCTTCTGGTAAAAGCTCTCGTGCCATTTTCGGCGAGTCGACTACATCAAGAGGCTGTAAATAGCGTAGTATAAACGTTCGTGGAAGTATAGAAGTGTTTGCGCAATCATGATATTATTATTCTCTCATATTAACCAGATCCCTCAAGATCTCAATGCCAGTCCCCATATTCAATAACGCCTAGCTACCGAGCCAAATCCCAGTGGTATATGCGCATCCCAAAAAGTCACTTTTGTTTTCCGTTTTCCGTATCCCAAGTATTACATCCCCACATCTTCCCCGTGTTTAGCAAGCGAGGCGTCTAGTGGATGCCGTAGGTCTGCTCGTAAGCGTTGCTAACGCTCTTGTGGTGCTCGACAACCTTGTTCTTAATAGCCCTCCACGCCTTCTGGTAGTTCCTTGGGCCAAGCTCAGCAGCCATCTCTTTCTCTCCAGTAGCAGCGCCCTTGCGGGGAGCCTCGCCGCTCTGCCTGGGGCTGGAAGCGAGGGATGAGCTGCGGGATGCGGAGGGAGAGTTGCCGGGGCTGTAGTAGACGGCGAAGGCGGAGTTCATCTCGCGGTGGTGTTGCTTGATGGCCTTCCATGCCTTGGCGGCGTTGGTGGGGTTGCGCTGAGTGGAGGAAGGGCCCGCCATGGAGGAGTTGCGGGATGTTTGTGCGGAGGCTGATGGGGTAGTTGCGGAGGAGCCGGTGTAGTAGGTGTTGTAGGCAGCGTTGACGCTCTCGTGGTGGGCCTTTGCGTGTGCCGCAACGGAGGAGAGGAAGTTGGTCATTTTGGTGGTGGTGGTTTGTGTTGTGGTGATGATCGATGTGAAGTAGATGTTCGAGAGTCGATCGATGACTTGTAGTAGTAGCTTTGCTTGGAGGCTGTGGTATGCTTTGCTGTGTTGATGCCTTCATCCTCACGTACCCACCCATCCCTTTATACTCCCCCAGCCCATCCCCAGAAACTTCTCTATGACACCCGCCAAGCATCACCGGTCACGCCCTGGGACCAAACCTTTGCCAAAATTTTACTCAGCACACTCTGCGCACGCCCTGCACATGTCGACGAAACGATCGTGAGATTTGAGGCCACACGGCCGTCTGATTGGCTGCGGGGTGACAAACCCACAGAATTCTTGTCAACGAACACCTCCACAGGGCGTGAGAGGATCCGTGCCACCATCATCATGACAATGAGGTGTCCACGCCCTACCCTGGTGCGTCTTTTCCGAAGGCGCGCCGGATGGTTTCCCGTCGGCGGCTAATTTTGGCAGGGCGCATGTGTGTGTAAAGGCGCGGTGACGAGTTTTCGGTCGTGTCCGTTAGCTGCTAGAAGACTGCCTTTGGAGGTATGGCGGGGAAAATCTCTGTTATTGGCTGCCACACTCCGTCGCACCACGGCGTGTACCTGATCCACGCAGGCCCTTTCCCGCCCCCGAGTTGCCCGTCGGATGCCAAGTTTGCTTGGGTCCTTTTAGTCTAGACGCTGCTGTTGCACTGGGAGTGGATGTTTGTACGTAAAGACCGTGTTTTACCTTGGGCGCATGTCCGTTAACTGTTAGAGAAATGCCTTTGGAGGTTTGGCGACGAGAATTTTTTGTTCGGTGAGCGCTGGGGCGCGTGACGACGGTGTGGATAGGGGTGTGGTGTGACAGCAAGTGAGTGATTTTTCCGCAAGCTCACGATCGTGTTGCCAGATCTTTCTCGATGCCGCGAAGGGGTCATCTGACGACTATCGTGACTCCGAGTGTCGCGGTGTGCCACCGACGATGACTGCGTTCATCGCTACAGCGCCGCCCTCCAGCGTCTACCACTAAGCTGTTTCGCCATTAACATGGAGCCATCGCAATCGCCAGCCTGAAGTATACACACATTTTCACAAGAATGGCCAACGGATCTTACAGCGCGAAACTGTAATTAGGTCAACATCCCAAGTCAAACGCCGCCGGATGCATTGAGAGAGATCTATCGCGCGAACATATACAGACTCAATCTATGCGAATACACCAACCCTTTCATAGTCGGACTGCAAGATACCCCATACCCCACCATAACAGCAACAGCAAGCCCCCAAGCCAACTTTCTGGTATCGCACTACCAGTCCGCGTCGCTCCCGCGATGATCGGTTCTCCTGTGGGGTAAGCATAGCCGTTGCCAGTCGACTGCCCATGGACATTCCCGCCATCTCCACCCGAGCCTGTCCCGAGCGCATCTGGCCCCTTGGTCAATGTGACGACTGTCGTGACCGGTTGAAGACTCATTGTAGTGCCCTGGACGACTACAGCAGTTCCGCTATGCTCGAGGCTCAGCGTTGTGCCGTCAACTGTAATGGGGGCGCCTCCAGGAACCAAAGTTGTGCCAGGACTTATCACAATGTAGCCAGCGCGATTTGGCGTGTACACATGGTCTTTAAAAGTCAATGCAGCTGCGACTGTGGATGTATACACGTTGCCGAACATTGGAGTGATACTGGATGTTTCGCCGTTGATGATGAGTGCCGTCGCTGAAGGTGCGAGCATGAGCGTTGTCCCGGATATAGTCAGGGGCTCGCCGCCAGGAGAAAGAGTTTGATCTGCAATGACGTATTCTGTCTGCGCATTGGGCGCAATGACTTCGGTACCGATGATGAGAAGTGGTGGAAGTAGGACCGGTGGTTGCGACATGGGCGCGTCTGTGATAGCAGGCTGAAAAGGTTGCAGCGAGATGACAGTAGTTCCCACGACAATCCTGGTTCTGCCTTCTGAAGTCTCTACCACAACAGGTGTGTCCCCAACGGTAACGACCTGACCAGGTATAAGAGTAAAAGAACTTCCTATCACGAAGTCACCATGACTGGGAGCTTGGCCAATGATAATGTCAGATATCCCAGCTGATATCGTAACCTGCGGAGGGTCTGCTGTTGCCGCCTGTGTCTGTTCTTCTTGTATAGTGGAGCCATGCTGCTCTCCGACTGGGTTATCCAACCACCCTGTAGCAGGTATCTCAAACACTGGTGAGCATCCTCGACACGGTCGCGTAGAACTGAAGTTTGGCTCGCTGATCTCGTGATGCCCATTCGGGTCTCCAATCTGTGTTGCGGCTGGCGGAATTGGTTTCAACCCTTCAACTGTTGACAGCATTGGCGGCGTCCCTGTGGCATTTCCTTGAGACGTGGTCAACACAGTCGTCACATCCGTCGGTGGTCCGTCGGTAGGAATGAGCAATGGGTTTGAAATCGGCAATGGCGCAGTTGGTATGGCTGCAGGCGGGGCTAGGGTTGAGGGTATGAGATTTGGCTCCGAGAGCGAAGCACTGTGAATGAGTTCGGGTTGCTGCGAAGGTATTGCGTTGGAGGGAGGTGCTGGGTCTAGTGGAGGTGCAGGATCTGTGGGTGCACCAATATTGGAGTCTATTAGACACGACATGTCGGATCAGCCATAGAACATTGGGCTAGTCAGCGCCACTCACTTGGTTCCGCTGTCACGGAGTGCTCGACTCTCGAGGCGACTGCTGACCCATAGTCGGCTAGCTCTGTATGAAAGTCAGCGCGAATGATTCCAGTGTCCTATGAAGGCCAACAGCTAATGCATACCCGCCTGTCCTAGCGCGGATGTAACGCCTAGCCAAGTCACACATAGGCACAAGACATGACACAACCGGAGGTCGGCACCGGAGTACATAATGAACATGACTTTAGATACAGAATATTCTCAAAGAGCCATGATGTGGGAGTGGTGACTGCGAAGAACAGATGATACAGTCTTACATTTCACCCAGGTGACAGCCCTTCTCAAAACACCTAATGCAGGATCTCAGCAAGCAATCAAAGGTAATGAATCAAAAATCTCCGCGTCCTACATATACCGAGGAGATGGCCGGTGACTGAGATAAAGGCTAGGACTGTGGTACACAACATCTACTTAGATTGCTATTGATTAGACTTTCTTGGATTCTGGGGTTACGATTGTGCCGATTGGAAACGCCCGAATGCGGAGATGGCTTTACCCGGAGCGGGAACGCAACCCTATACGTCGGCTGGATGTTTACCAGAGACTGGTTCCTTCCAGGTACCTTAGCGAGCCGCAACCCATGTACCATACCCGGGCTGCCTACAAAAGTGACGAGGTGCTTGTGAACGGACGAGTCACGATCGCGCAGGTTTCTGATAGAAGTCTTTAACCAGGTCGAAGGAGTTTTAGGACAGGGTTCGAGGAGAAATGCCATGTGCCCGAGCAGCACACTAATGCGCATGATGTGTTGGTCATCTCCAGCGTTTTTGTCAGCTCATCGCAACCTGACGTGACATTGGCCGAGCTTGATCGTCGTAGTTCTGTCACACAGCCGTAGTACAAGCCTGAGATCTCAATACAAACTTGGTATACACGCATTTCCGATGACGCAAGAGAAGTCAGCTATTGACCACTCGAACGTTATCGATGGCTTCCCAAATGTAAAGGTGACTTGTCGACCCAACATGCAGGCTGCGGAGGCCCCGTCCGAAGCGCTCGTCGCGGGTGGCGTATGTGACATTCAGCCGGGCCCATCTAGGCGATAAACCTTCGATGCAAGGTTGAACGCACGTGGTGAGGACATGTATGGTGTTTCTAGGTGCTCGCTAGAAACGTCCCTCGATATCGCACCAGGGTCATTCCACACGCGTTCACTGTCCTGCTGATCGCATCTTTCTGGGCACGGAAGAGTCTTTGTAGTGTTGATAACCTGATCACGCAGCTGCTTTCACGGGTGATAGCGGGAAGTTCATGCGTGTTGCCGGTGCGTGCTTCGCTCACTCCGAGCTACACAAGGTACCGGATCTTAATTCGTTGGCCGAGGGAAGATCTTTGAGCTGCTTTCGACGTTGAACATCTAGTAAAACTCAGGGACCAATGCAAAAAGCTGGCTGAAGAGGATGAAACGATAGACAGTGTTGTTACAAGCACCTGTGGCCGCGAGATCGTCATCGTAGCATACTGCTGCTGTCAACGTGCGTTCTCGCAAAAAGACTGGCATCTTCTGGGATTGTTGGTTC